AATAGACAGCCTTAGAAATCCATGTTTGATACAGAACAGAATTCCTTTCACTTGTCACATGGAAACCATACCAATGCTAAAGGCTTGTTAAATGGGGAGAACCTCAGGGAAGTGGGTAACTGGATTAATTGTGTGGAGGGCTATACATGGTGAGAGAATTGGTACCCTTTTCTGAATATGCCTGCTCATTCTTAATCACGAAGCCAATGTTCTCAGCAGAGTTTTGCAAACTTGAGAATGATATTAGACACAGCAATGAAGAGACTGGGTGGGGAGCACAGAGTCATCAATGATAGACATCAGCCCTTGACTTCTTTCCAACTCATATGTGGAATGATGCAACTGGACGTTTTGTTGATCCTAGCAGCAACTCTTTCTAAACTTGCCAAACACACCAAGAAGTCCACTGGAGTAACACTTAGCCCTTTGTGCACTGTCCAATCATTAGGTGGTCCCCAGTGCCTTGTTGGACCATGATGAAATCATACAAGGAGGAGAGGAATGAGAGTCCAAAACATGTTTTTCCAACGTGTTTTCCCCTAGAATGGAGGGTAACAGGTGCAGAGCCCCAGGGCAGGGTGATTCCTTGAGTTTCTGTATGGGACACAGTGAAGCAAAGAAAAGGCTGAGCTGCCAGTGCTGTGCTGATCACATGGACACTAATGTCTCACTGCATGGACTTCTTTAGAAATGACTCCCTGTAGTTTCCAGTTGTGTCCCTTTCTGACTCACTAGACTGGCAGACAGCAATACTAGGATTCAGCAGTGCCCTGCACAGAGAGCAGTTCTCTGCAGGGGATTGAGCCTGCCAACACCTGCCAGCTCCTTGTTCCTTAATCTCAGCTGACATTTTGGGCTTCGTCTCTGAATTGTGAAAACCCTGGCAAGATGTTGTCTGTGAGTGTTCTGTGCCTACTCCTGCACACTATACACACTTCACAGGGCATGACCCACAGGGAATGCAATAATTACCTTAAGCCAAGTATCAACCAAGATGGAGACCTGATCCTGGGTGGTTTTTTCCCTCTCTACTACCCAGAACCAGAAAGCAAAAAGGTCCAGATGTCTTTTTTACATCGTCCCCAGTATAAAACTGTTGTATCTTGGTAAGTTCAAGATTGTGTGTATGCATTAAGTGTGGCTACCATTGAATGTGAGTGTGTGTTACTACTGTGTTTAATCCTTTCTGAGAATGCTAGAAGGTATGAAGAAAGTGCCAAAATGCCAATAAAGGAAGTTGCAGGTTCACTCCATTCTTGTACCTTCCATGCCTTGCTGTTCATTTTTCTATTTGCTTCTTGGTCCTTCAGGGACAGAGAAGTGACATCAATGATTATCTGCCCACTCCATTGGCTTAGATCTCTCAAATACAGCCCTCAGCATCTTGGAATGAGGCAGAATGTGGGGACTCCAATCCTACCTGCATGCATGGAGTGGGCACAGGTGTCCTGAGGCACTGAGACCCTGGTCTGTGGTCAGTGTTAAGATTAAGGGGTCACTCTGATTTCCAGTGCTGAAAAGAGCATTGTCACTATTGTACCCAATAGTGAATCCATGTATATCTAAGATGTGCCACCATAAACAGACTTTGTCCCACCGCACATCATTAACTGAGCCCCTTCAGACTGCAGGCTTGAGTCCCTGAATGTAGCAAGATTAAAGGGATTTATCTTCCCCAAGACTTTCACTTGGATCCTGAAGGTTTTTCTCCAGGAACCACACAGAAACTGCATTAATTCTGGGCTTGACACACCTGTGCAGCATGTGTTTTAGTAACTGTTAACGTGGATGCCTGAAGAGGATTAGAAACAAGACATCCTGTCTCTGCACCCTTGTTGGTGGTGACAGTGGAGTGTGCTTCTGACTCACTGCAGAGAACCACATGCTCATGTGTTCAGAAGAGAGTGAGGCAGAGAGATGTTGGTTTAAATGGAGCATGTCTGTTCTTATCAGCACTTTTGGAATTTAATGCTTATCAACTCAGCAGGTTGCCATGCACTATGGGCAACTGCTAATGGGCTGGTGACCTCTGAGGCACAGTGTTAAAACATGTAGTCTCTCCTAGTTGGTGCCTTCACAGTGTTCTGTCCCTTCTCAATGTTTCATTAAATTTCTTTGTGCATTTTTAATTTCTATATTATTAGCGAAAATGCCTAATGGGATATTTATGGTAAACACTTTATGCATGTGAATCTTCTGGTTATGTGGCAGCTACTGATTGTTTGTACTCTGTCAGATTTAGGGAGATAGGATGTGATTTTCTAAAGGTGAATTAATCTCTCATCTCAGGGACTCTGTATGGGAGACAGTGAGGAGCTGCCTTGTTCATGATCTCAGGGTGAAAGGTCAGCCCATGCCACAAACTGGAGGCCAGGCTTTGCTCTCTGCCTTCTCTTCCCCAGGTAGAAAAGTGTCTGGCCACCCTAATTTGTGCAGACCTTTAGCCCTCATGTGCTTGCCACACTCTAAAATTGCATTTGCTTCAATCTCCTTTAGTTAATATGGGCTCAGATGATTAATTTTTTGTGAAGTTTGACTTCAAGCTCCAGCTTCAATACTGTGATTGAACTTCCTTAAAGCTGATGGAAGTTATGTTGTTATTTGCCTGACAGGAGTTATTTTATGTGCATATCCCACATTTGTTTACCCAATATTTGGCCTTTGATTTGGCATTAATTTTGTGTGGCTGTAATACTCTAATGATCAGTTTTATTTAATAAACTGCATATTTCTCTGAGATGCTGGGGGTACATCATTAAATAATGAGATAAAGTCTTTTATCAAGATTTTTAAAAGAGTTACCAAATCATTGTTGATAAACATCTAGATGTTTATCACCTGCTCACAAATCCCTAACTCCTTTTCAGTGTCTCCACATCCTTCATTCCTTCTCCCATACTGCGTACCACCCCTCTGTCTTGTGTCTCTGAGGGTCAGCCTATTACGGCCCCCTCATGTGAGTTGATTCATATCCTTTGTGGTCTTTTGTGACTGACAAATTGGAGTGCACCATGTTTCCTGTTTTATTCATGTTGTGGCTTGCAGCAACATTTAGTATACATTTCTCAAAATATCTTTTTTAAGATTAATTTTATTTATTTGAGAGTCAGAGTTACTCAGAGAGAGGAGAGGCAGACAGTGAGAGAGGTCTTCCATCCACTGTTTCACTCCCCAATTGGCCACAATGGCCGGAGCTGCACCCAGCTGAAGCCAGGAGCAAGGAGCTTCTTTCCGATCTTCCCACATGGGAGCAGGAGCCAAAGATTTAGGCCATCTTCTATTGCTTTCCCAGGCTATAGCAGAGAGCTGGATCAGAAGTGGAGCGGCCAGGACTTGAATCAGTGCCCCTATGGGATGCTGGCATTGCAAGTGGCAGCTTTACCTGCTATGCCACAGTGCTGGCACCCAAAATATCATAATATCTAAGTCTGCCTTGGTGTCAGACATTCCTGTTTACTCAAAATAGTAACTCAGCATGCCAGGTCCTGAAATTAACAACTGACAACTTTGCCTTCAGCAAAAAAGAATTAAGCTAGTCAACTTTCAGCTGACAGCAAGTGTTATAAATAACCCAAGGTGAATGCAGTGTGCTCTTCACAGTGAAAAATTATTCTACTAAGGCCAAAAGATTAACAGAAAATGTTTATTCAATGAATTTATTTTGTAATTCAAACAAATAAATTTAAGCTATGGACACATGCCACTAGCATAAATTCTGTGCCAGGTCAACCTCAATTTTAAGAACTCCTCTATGTGATCTGAAAATCTCCTCAGATTAAGTGTGTATAGAATGCTGACTTATCAATAAGACAAAATTCAATTTCAAACTCCACATATAAGAACAACATGTACAACACTGTGTGACCCAATAATTGGCAATCAGCAAAAATAAAGCACTGCCAATTAGAAACTTTTTGAATATGTATTATAATATTGAGGAAATGAAGAAATGACAAACTATTAGTTAAGCCCAACACAGAAACATAATATTCAGTGCAAAGCAACTAAAGGAATGATTGGATGAATATATTAAGTCCCATGCAACTTATTAACAGGTATGAATATTCTTAGCATTCAAATTCTGGAAGAAATGTAAGAAGTTATAAAAGTTCAACAGAATTCCAAGGGAAGAAGAAAAAAAGAAACCCATAGTGAGAAAATAGACCATCCAATTTCTCATACACATGAAATGTGAGAGCTCTTAAATTCTAAGAAACTATTTTCACTCAAGATATATGCTGTGATTATAGAGTAAATTGAAATTATGTTATAGCAAAGATGAATAGAAAAAAGAGAAAGGAAGGAGGAAGAATTGAAGGAGGGAAGTGTGGTTATCTTCTTAGGACTGTATCTGGAATATATACAATCATATATCTTTGTATTAGTAACAAGTTTTTAAGAAGATATATAGAAAAAAGGATTGAACATACAAGTGTAAAATATGAAATGAAAAATATGAATTCAATAGAGAAAAAAATGGAAACTAAGGAAACATCCTAAATTATCTGAGTTCAGGAGAAAAATGTTTACATTTCAAGGAAAACAAAATGTTAAATCTGATTTGAGCAAAGCAAAACATTAGAATAGGAAATTAAAGCAAGGACCAGGGACAAATGGCTCAGATGGACCTGGCCGAGGAGAATGTTCTAAAACTTTAAACAACTGATGAGTCAGGTGGCATTCAGCCTACTCCAGAAATTACTGGAAACAGAAATGCTTGCTCCTGGGTGTTGTCCTTAGGTTGGGATGCATTGAAGCTTTCCTGAAGGGTTCATGAAGGTGAGTGTGATCATGGGCACAGTTTGCTTCAGAGGAGTCCAAGGGCCATTCTACAATCTTCTAGAGCCCTTGAAACCTCATTCGCATCTCCTTCTTTTTCCAAAGCTGAGGCACAACTGAGTGGAAGCCTGAGTCTGACCACTGCTGCTTCAGGGTGTGGCTGTGTTGTTGCTCTGAATTCCATGGTCTCACCCTCTCCCGGATGCTGCCCCTCTCTTTAGGTGGCTGTGGAAGAACTACCAATATGTGCTGGCCTTCCGCTTTGCCATCCAGGAGATCAATAAGGACTCCCAGCTCCTCCCCAACCTGACCCTTGGTTTCAAATTCTTCAATGCCTTTGCCAGTGAACAGTACACCTTACTGAGCATAGTATATTGGTTGATTGGGATTAATGTGCCTTTCCCTAACTACACCTGCCATACACAAGGGAGACACGTTGCTGTCATTGCTGGAACTACATCAGCATTGTCTGTTGAGTTTGGAACGCTTTTGGAGCTCTACAAAAACCCACAGGTAAATGAGCTGTGAATCTGGAGGGCAATAGTTAAATTTCCTCCAACACCATTCTCTCACCTCTGAAAAATGGAAATGGGGCAGCCGAGTATACATACCACACCATGGTATAGGAGAGATCCCATGGATTTCCTAAGGATGTGAGATTATTAACAGGGGAAGGAGAAGGGAGAAAGGGAAATAGCAGGGCCTGTTGACAGCCTTCTTAAGATTCCTGTCTAGGGCCTGTGTAACCATCTCCCACCTGCTGGAAGCATAGGCTGTCTAATAGTCTCACCTCTACACTTCATAATGTCCACAGCACACAGATGTTCCCCATCCAAGGACAGCACCATCTCAGGTGGCATCCAGAGACCTAGGACAGTTGGATATAGGGAATGCATCTGGGTCCCCTTTGGGAAAACAATGAGGGTAACAGACAGTGAAAAATATTTTTTAAAGACTTCTATATTTGTTTATCTAAAAGGCAAAGCAATGGAGAAAGATGGAAAGTCACATACACATACACATACACATACACATACACATGGCATTGGAGTGGATCTCTTAACCACAGGGTCACTCCCCAGATGCCCACAACAGCTAGATCTGAGCCAGCCAGCAGCCAGCAGCCAGGATTTCCCTCCTGTTATACCACATGGTAGAAAGGGGCCTAGTACTTTTGTTATACATTGCTGACTCCTCCAGTACAACAGCAGGCAAGTAGATCAAAAGCAGATTATCCAGGACTTGAACTGGCACTTAGAAGTGGGATGCTGGTATCATCATTGGTAGGCTAACACACAGTGCCACTATGCTGGCTCCACCATGGAGTGTTGAGACTCACATCTTGCTACACTGGAGCTCAACCGATCATGTTCCCAATGCTAATTAGTCACAAGCACACAGGTTGATTTTTCTCAGGATTCCCAGTGGCCATGCCATCTACAACTGTGCATATCAGAACTGTGGACATGGGTTTATTCCAATCTTTGGGAGACAGGGAAGTAGCCAGGCAGACAAGGAGCTCTATTATAAACAACTCAGCTGATTTGCTTACCAAATGTCTGACATGGTGTTGGGCTTAGTCTACCATTGCACATGTGTAGAACCAGGAAGTCATTCCACATGAATGCCATGACCCAGTGAGTTGAGTCATTATCACTGCCTCCCCAGGTCTGTGTCAGTATCTCAAAAATACTTCCCCAGGGACCCACTATACAAGCAACAATCAGAACATGTGCCTGTCAAACATAGGCCATATGGTGAGCAGAGGATTCTGGATTGGAAAAAATATTTTGCCCCAAATTAAAAAAGGTTGGTGATTATATTCTTGGAGACAATGCAGGTTTCCTGTGGTAATCAATGCACTCCAAATACCAAGAGATCAACACAGTAGAGATTTCTGTCTCAGAGTTATCTACAATGGTGGCTGCTGGAGGAGGTGGCTCTACTCCACCAGTCACCCTGGGCAAGGATGGGTGAAGCAACATCCAAAGTTCCTTCTTCCTCAGGCCCCACTGCAGGACATGAAGAGCATACAGATACTGACAGATTTCTTTAAAGCTATGAAGGAGGAGTCACATTTATTCACCTAAAGCAATGGGCATGCGAAGCATGGTCTTCTCTGTGGCCAGAGTAGCAAGATTTTTCATCTCTACTGCACTCTTTCTTTTCACACAATAGTAACCTATTTAAAGTTGACCTTGGGGAGAAATTCTTTTCACTCACTTCCAAGAGAGATAACACAAATCCTACAAAAGTTTGATCATGTTTTTCTTTGCTTTCAGCTCACCTATGGCCCTTTTGATCCCATGCTAAATGATAAAGATCAGTTTCCCTCACTCTATCAGATGGCAACCAGTGACAGCTCTTTGGGCCATGGAATGATCTACTTGTTGCTGCATTTTGGCTGGACTTGGGTGGTGCTCTTTGTGTCTGATGACATGAAAGGAGAGCAGTTCCTTCAGTATTTTGAAGCAGAGATGCTCAAGAAAGGTATCTGTGTGGCCTTTACAGTTAAGCTCCCTGTCACAAAGAAGTTGTATGGGTATGGTGATCTCACTTTCATGAGTAGCATCAGAGTTTCATCTGCAAATGTGCATATACTCTATGGTGATGTAAGAGGTCTCATCAGTGTGGACATTTCAGTGCAGTCCTTTGTAACCATCGGGAAAGTGTGGATCATGACATCAAAGTGGGATCTTGTTATGTCTGAGACAAACCACATGTTGCATTCTTTGCACGGAGGCTTCTCATTTTCACCCCACAAGGAAGAAATCCCTGGCCTCAAACATTTTGTCAAGATGGCAAACCCTTCCCACTACCCAGAAGACTTTTATTTCAGTAAATTATGGCTTTTCCATCTGCACTGCTCACTTGAAGGATCATTTTGTGGACATATTGGAAGCTGCCCACCAAATACCTCCTTAGAGTTTCTTCCAGGACATATTGACTTGCTGACCATATCTGACTCCAGCTATTTAGTCTACAATGCTGTCTACACAGTGGCCCACGTCCTCCATAAAATGATTTTGGAGAAAGTAGAAATGGGATCTCCAGGAGAAGCAATACAACCTATGATTCTTCCCTGGCAGGTAAACCTCCCCTAAAACAGAACAGAAAGTTGCCACCTGATGGAATCTAGAGATGTTGTATTGAGATACAGCATCATGACCCTGCTATCTTCTCAAGGTCAGAGAGATTAGGTACATCAGAAGTTGGGTTCTTTCCATTGGTTATTGGTATATCTGTGATTGTTGGCTTTGGCTGGAAATTTCAATCTCTATGGATTTTGAATGGTTACTTTCTGAACAGAAATGGTATCAGAAAAGTTTGTAATGTAGGCTGAAATGCTGCAATACGTGAGAAAATTTGACAGATAAAAAGTTGTCATGCCATAATATTCCTTGGAATTTATACAAAGCCAAAAAAGACGTATTGATAAATTATTTTTCATTTCTATAAATTTTTCATTTGTAAAATTTAACAATTTTGACATCCTGCCACATGTACATCAAAGGTACATATTTTATATATATCCATATCTACAGTTTTTTCTTGGAATAAGGATATTAATATCACAAGGAGAGTGATTGATGACAATGTTGCTAGTACAGGAAGATAAGGGTATATGTCATATACACCGTATGCTTCAGTGAAACAACATACCAAATGCTAGGATACTGTCACAATGTTTATACTCTGTATATTAACTTCCACAAATCAGAAAAACATATGATATTTGCCTTTCTGGGCCTGGAGTACTTCACTCAGCATAGTGATCTTCAGTTCCATGTATTTTGTTGCAAATATCGTTCAAATCTGACAGCAGTTTAATTTGATTTATAATCCTGCATAACCTGTGGCCTAAGCCCTGGATGAGATAAGATACTTTTTGTGAAAACAGAAATGGATTTCACATAATATCCTAAACATGATAGGAAATGGATGGGAAATGAAGCATGTTAGACCAACTGCCCTTACAAACTCTGAAGCAATCAGGGAGCATGGACTGTAGTCCCATTTCTTACATATAAGACTACTGAGGATGCACATGAGCACAGGATTTGCCTGCTCAGTCAGCTGAATATTTCTGGGTTTAACCCTGGCTTACATGAATGCATTCCCCACATATAGAATGTATTTAGAAAATTCTGTTTGCATGTGCAAAGGACAAATATGCTCATAAATTTGTAGGATATATTAAATAAGGGTGATGTGTAGAAAAAGTAAAATATTTGTAAAAATTAGCATCAGAACATTTACTTCATAATCAAATTGTATTTAAGCATTAGAAGTATGTTTTATAAACTACAGTATTAGAGTCAAACCTTGGGAAAGGAAATTAATTTTTCAAGAAGGCTTCCATAGATATAATTAATGAATTATTTGTAAATTTTGTCCTCTACATTATTTAAGAATTAAGTGGTAAACTGTCCCTTGACAATCAGGTCATGGAATCTTCGAGTCTTTTTTTTTTTTTTTGACAGGCAGAGTGGACAGTGAGAGAGAGAGACAGAAAGAAAGGTCTTCCTTTGCCATTGGTTCACCCTCCAATGGCCGCCATGGCCGGCGTGCTACAGCCGGCGCACCACGCTGATCTGATGGCAGGAGCCAGGTGCTTCTCCTGGTCTCCCATGGGGTGCAGGGCCCAAGCACTTGGGCCATCCCCCACTGCACTCCCTGGCCATAGCAGAGAGCTGGACTGGAAGAGGGGCAACCGGGACAGAATCCAGTGCCCCGACCGGGACTAGAACCTGGTGTGTCGGTGCCGCAAGGTGGAGGATTAGCCTAGTGAACCACGGCACCGGCCTAGGTCATGGACTCTTGAAGACATTGATTCTAAAAGTGCCATTGTTACTTTTTACCGTGTATATCCTTTTTGTTTTGTTCTGTTGGGTTTTTTTCTCTGTTTTCTATCTCTCTCCCATTTCTCTTCTTCATACTGATAACTCTAGGTTACACAGAGTTATATTTATTTTAAGGCAATTGGGAAAAGATCCCAGATAAAAATAAGAGGGGAAATAAGAGATGGAGGAGGTAGTCTATAACTGTAAAACAGTTTGGTTCTGCATACAGTCATACAGACTGAGCTCTAATGGTACAGCCTAAGAACTAGTCATGGGGCTCCAAAACCATAAGAATTGGTGGTACAAATGCCATCTTCACTGTTAAAATGGTCATATTAAAAGTTAAAGGCAACAGATAGATCAGTCTAAGTTTAAAAAGGATGATATAATGATATAAGTAACATCAAGTACCTGGGAAAATAATATAATTAAAAAAGGAAGGAAAGACCAACATGGGAAGCAGTCCACACAGCAGACTCCTAGAATAACATTTGCTATAAATAACACTCTAACCTCAGAATCAACCCTAAGGCTTCCTTGTTGGGCTAAAAGGCCTGCGAGATCATTTCAGGCATGGAAAGCCAAGACATTGTGACAAAAAAATATCCTACACAGAGGATCTCTGTGAGACCTCAGAGGACAGAAAGAGTCATCAAAGAAGGAGACACTTTTCTCTGAAGGGAGGAAAGAACATCCACTTTGCTTATGGCCATGTCCAAATACCGATGGAATCTATGGTCAAAAAAAAGTCTTCCATAACCTTGGGAACCCATGGTAAGAGCCTCAGATGATCGCTGATATCATAAAAAGAGTGTTAATTATTAAAGGAACAACAGTAGTCACTGTGACTTGCTCCCCATGTAGGACCTCTGTCCCTAATGAATGTTAATATGAGAATTGACTGCAAATTCTCTCCCTAAACTGTACTCTATATGTTGTGTGTGTGCCTGGGTGCAAATTGTTAAAGTCTATGCTTAGCATGGTGTTGGTCCTCTGTTTATAAAGTCATACTAAAAATGAACCATAATGAAGAAGGAGATAGGAGAGGGAAAGGGAGGTGGGATGGTAGCTGGGGGGGAGGGGGGCTATGGGGGAAAGAACCACTATATTCATAAAGTCGTATCTATGTAAAAATGCACTCATTAGCCGGTGCTGTGGCTCACTAGGCTAATCCTCCGCCTGCGACACCGGCACTCTGGGTCCTAGTCCCAGTTGGGGCGCCGGATCTACCCCAGTTGCTCCTCTTCCAGTCCAGCTCTCTGCTGTGGACTGGGAAGGCAGTGGAGGATGGCCCAAGTGCTTGGGCCCTGCACCCACATAGGAGACCAGAAGGAAGCACCTGGGTGTCCTGGCTTTGGAGGGGCACAGCATGCTGGCCATAGCGGTCAATTGGGGGGTGAATTAACGGATAGGAAGACTTTCTCTCTGTCTCTCTCTCTCACTGTCTAACTCTGCTTGTCAAAAAAATGCATTCATTAAATAAAAATTAAAAAATTAAAAACACAATTAAGTGATAGTTGTTTAAAAATAACAACTTAGTTGTATCCCAGTACAGATGTGTTGTGATCTAGAAGGTTCAAGGTTAACACATACTATAAAAGCATAATAAGCTTTCATAGATTTGAAATTTTGTCTTTGGTCATACCATACTATCTGATATGTCAAAGATAGTCACAGTCATCACAATAAGTGACCCAAAGCCAAGGAGAGAAAGAACACCATGTTGTGTCATGTTCAACCAGTGTTAAGGTATAAGTATACCTTAAAAGGTATAATGTATATTGCTGATATACATAATATACATATCTTATAGATATGGACTTCTGAGGTATTACAGTGGCTTTGAGTCTCTTGATGGAAAATATATCTTATGAAACAATCATGCATTAATCTCTAATTTTTCCCCAACCAAAATACACTAATCATCAACTATATTTTGAACCTTATGAAGAACTTATGTAGATACACACCTATAATATTCATAACAGCTATCAAGTTATTTCAGTAGCCATCCATGTGCTGCCCAACTGGTAACAGTAGAGTTAGCTTCCATAAAGCCCCAACCAATCTTTCATGGCCAAAGCTTCAATAGAGTCTGTGCTCCAGTAAACCTCTGGACCACTAACTTTTCTGATTGGGGACAATCACTCTTTGATGTTTTGTTGAGGGAGCAGAGGAATACCTTAACCCGGGAGATGTTTAAGCATCCAAAGAAAATTAATGTTCTACCAAATGGAAAAGCTGAATGCAAAAGACAACAAAGAGGGCTTGTTTAGAGCATCTGACTTCCCGCAACTAATTTGGATGTGCTGTCTATTTCCAATTATGCCTGTCCTCCAGCTCCATCAATTTCTGAGGAAAATCCAATTTACAAACAGCGCTGGAGATAAAGTATCCTTCCATGAAACAAGAAACCACATGGCACATTATGATATCCAGAACGTTGTGAATTTTCCTAGTGGTCTTCGCTTGCTTATTAAAATTGGAGAGTTTTCCTCCAAGAGTCCACATGAACAAAGCTTACTTGTCAATGAAGAGATGATAGAATGGCCTGTTGCATTCAAAGTGGTATGATTCTCTTTTGATACGAGATACCCACAGAGAGATCTGCCAATAATCTTGTGAAGAGGTTAAGTGTGAAGTGATCAGGTTCTTTTGTAATACATGGGAAATAGGTTGGGGAAACAGAAATGGCAATCGTAGGAATGCTGAAATGGATGTCTAGGTATTAGTCACAGGTACAGGAGGAGGGGATATAGTCGTGACCTTCAATTGAAGGCCAAGGTGTTATGTAGTGAGGAGGGATCTACTGACACCCTTCACGGTGGCTGATAACATACCAAACCATGACCAGTGCTTCTCTTTTTTCTTCAGACCCCTCAATCTGTGTGTAGCCAGAGCTGTGGTCCAGGATTCAGGAAAATGTCACAGGAAGGAAGACCTATCTGCTGCTATACTTGTGTTTTGTGTCCAGAGAAAGAAATTGCCAATCAGACAGGTAGAAAATTTCCAATCCATATCTTTACTGTCTAGTTATTTCTCCACAAAAGAGAAACCAAAGAGATTTGCAATTAGTTCCTAGTGCATCATTGTTCTCTATGCACACATTTACTCATTCATTCAATATATCCATTTATGATCACTAAAGATACTTTATGTTTAAGTTCTTCTCTGGTGATGCTCATTCTAGTAACATCAACTGTAGCACTGATTCTAAAAGATATCACACCATGTTAGATAAGTCATCATCTGAGATTTGCAGGTGGAACTTGCTATATTTCCAACTGAGAAATGTAGGATGTATAATCATCAAGGCTTTCTATTGGTGCCTGTAAATCTTGAAACCAATTCATCTTACAAACACATGATAAGCACAGAGCTAGTGCTTGTATGTCATCATGGAAATACTGTATTCCTCCCTGCACTGTCTTTAATATTTCCATGGAATTAAGGATGTCTAGTACCACAGGTACATTTAGATTTATAGAATTTATTAAAGGAAAGAGTCAAGGTGAAGTATGAATATCACATCCTACTAAAATATACAGTTTGGTATGCTCATAAAAACTTTTGAACAAGACAAACATAAAAATAATTACCTATCAAAATACATGTACCAGGCCGGTGCCATGGCTCAATAGGCTAATCCTCCACCTAGCGGCACCGGCACACTGGGTTCTAGTCCCGGTCAGGGTGCCAGATTCTGTCCCGGTTGCCCCTCTTCCAGGCCAGCTCTCTGCTATGGCCCAAAAGTGCAGTGGAGGATGGCCCAGGTGCTTGGGCCCTGCACACCATGGGAGACCAGGAGAAGCACCTGACTCCTGCCTTTGGATCAGCATGGTGCACCGGCCACAGTGCGCCAGCTGTGGCGGCCATTGGAGGGTGAACCAATGGCAAAAGGAAGACCTTTCTCTCTATCTCTCTCTCTCTCAGACACTCTCCACTCTGCCTGCAAAAAAAAAAAAATGTACCAAGAATGTAAAAAATGTGCTATATCTCACTGAGAAATACTTCCATTTTTTTAAAATATGGGAAATAGACCTTGTAATGATTTGATTTCCTCCAAAAAGGCTTCTCAATTCCTATTGTGTTAGCATTAGCAACCATTTGGTTTTAATCATTTCCTAGAGGAAATAAATAGTTTTGGCCATGAAGAAGATAACAGAACAAAGAGCTAATCTGTGCACAAAGGTTTTGCAAAAATTCAATAACAAATAAAAAGAATTTAAAAACATATGCTGGAAGCATGTTGTACAACAATACTTTCTTGTATGTACAAACACTGTAGAAAGTATCTAAGATTGAAGCCAGAGCACCTGGTGTCCCCAAGAAGAGAAATGGGTACTTCAAGATAAGAATGCCAGGAAGATTGACTCTAAATTACATTAGGATCTTGTATGGTTGAAGAAGTGTCATCTAAAAAGTTAAATCAAACCCTCATAACAAGTGTAGCTAGACCCCAATACCATCTTCTGTATTTAACTGAAACAGAGATATGCCCATTCATTGACTTGTCTCTATGACTTATTTCTTGCTGCATTGGCAAGAAAATGTTATTTCAATAAATAGAGAAAACATGGTATCCAGAGCTGAATTTGTTCCCCACCTTCCACAAGTACAATGGGGTAACAAGTTATGATTTCATAGAATGAGTGAAAAGTTCCAATACAAAATAAAAAATTTCTCAGAGTTTCAGAATGATATACTGCTATAAATGATCTGTGATTTCTTTACATTTAGCATGTATAAGTGAAACAGGCACTTTTATTTGGGTATTATTTATATCCATTTCCTACAATTCCCACTGATCTATAGTCTTATTACTTTTTACTTTTTGAACTCTTGATTCAGTGGAGTTTTAAGACTTTGACTTAATGTAAATTAAAAATATGCTATTTCAAAAATTAAAAAAGGAAGGAATGAAGGAAGGAAGAAAAAGAAAGGAAAGAAGAAGGGAAAAGAGAAAAAAGAAAGGAAGGGAGGTGGAATGGAGGAATAAATCATCTTAAAATTGTACCAGTGAATGGAATGGAATCTCTTCTGCTTCTATTAATATCACATTAACATGAGAATTGATGAGAATTGTGTTATACTAATTATCATGCACTTGCTATGACCCTGAGAATGCAATGTATTAATTCATTTTGAAATTTATATTATATACTAACTTGAAAAATATCTAATTTCTCCATCAATAACTGGGTAAATATCAATTACATCCAAATTTCTTTATTTTAAAAACACCTCTATTCAAATCCAAATGTTGCTTATTCAATAAAATGCACCTTAAGATTCCATTAAAAATTGACAAAAGGATTCCCAAGGAAATGAAAATATAAAATGAGGAAAGATTGTTCTGCCAGATATCAAGTTAATAACTGTAGTATTGATGGCTGTAAGGTTATCTTAGGAGTTTGGGGTTGTTTATTTCTGTGTCTGAGCTACAGAGATACAGGATGTGACAAGAGGCTGACTTAGGGGATAGAACAGAGAAAGGCTGGGAAGCATCCATGACCATGGGAACAGGAATGTGTCACAGGATAAGTCAACCTAGCCCCCATATGCTGAAGGTGTTGTTTGAATGAGTTTGTTCCAATCTGCAGATGGGCATCCTCCCTGGACAGCAATGCAGAAACTCGATAAGGTGTACCCTGCTATATATCACAAGCTCCCAGCAGCATTGCAGTTGACCATTTTCCACAACAGAAAGAAATCCAGAATTTCTACAAAGTAAACCTTCAGTTTTTCTCCTTCCTCAGATGCAAAGCAGTGCATCCCATGTGAAGATCACGAATACCCAAACCAGGATAGAAGTCGCTGCCTCCCTAAGTTGATGACGTTCTTGGCCTTTGAGGAATCTCTGGGGATGGCTCTGGCCTGCATGGCTCTGTGCTTCTCTGTCCTCACAGCTGCGGTCCTCTGGATCTTTGTGAAGCACCAAGACACTCCCATAGTCAAGGCCAATAACAGGACCCTCAGCTACATCCTGCTCATCACCCTCCTCCTGTGCTTCCTCTGCTCCTTACTCTTCCTTGGCTGTCCCAACACAGCCACCTGCCTCCTCCAGCAAATAGCATTTGGCCTTGTGTTCACAGTGGCTGTTTCCACTGTGCTGGCCAAGACCATCACTGTGATTCTGGCCTTCAAGGTTACAAAACCTCGCAGAACTGTCAGGCGATTGTTGATATCAGGAGTTTCTAACTCTGTCATTCCCATCTGCTTCCTCCTCCAACTGATTCTCTGTAGCATCTGGCTGGGAATCTCTCCTCCCTTCATTGAGTTAGATACACACTCTGAGCCTGGCCACATCATCCTGGTGTGCAATAAGGGTTCGGTCACTGCCTTCTACTGTGTCCTGGGCTACCTGGGTTCCATGGCCCTGGCCAGCTTCACTGTGGCTTTTCTAGCCAGGAATCTGCCTGACACTTTCAATGAAGCTAAGTTCCTTACATTCAGCATGCTGGTGTTCTGCAGTGTCTGGGTGACCTTCCTTCCTGTCTACCACAGCACCAAGGGGAAGGTCATGGTGGCTGTGGAGGCCTTCTCCATCTTGGCCTCCAGTGCGGGGCTCCTGGGCTGCATCTTTGTCCCCAAGTGCTATGTTATTCTCATAAGACCTGAGATGAACTCTTTGAAAGGCTTAAAGAATAAAAGCAAGTTCTAAAGGATTCTAAAATTTTTCCACTTGTTTTGCTATCACATATTCAGAGTTTAGAACCATGAATCCAGACTGAAGTAGCAATCCAGAAATAATGAAGGAACTAAAGTTGATTTTTTTCCTTTAAAAACTATTTATGTATTGGACATACAGCCTAGCAGTCTGAGTGCATGGCATCAATTTCTGGCTCTGGCTTTGGCTCCTGACCTGGACTTCTGATTCCTGGGGACCCTTGAAGGCAGTGGTGAATCTTCACGTAACTTGGTCCTGTCCAACCATATGAAAATCTAGGGTCTGACTGACTGTTGTTGGTTGTAGCCTCATCCCAGGCACAGGCATAGGGGGTGTAGAGATATGAGGCATTGAATGGGAGGTCTCTCTGTCTCTGTCACTAACCTTCTGTTTCTCTCCCTCTCAGAGTTAGTAATGGGAGTTTAGAGAAAATTTTTATATCGAGTAAAAATAAATTATGGTGTAAATGCCCATCAAGGCTACAACAACAATGCTATTTTATATTAAAAGGCTATCACTGAAATAGTTGAGATGAATTAATTTCTATTTATTTATCAGTGTATAGACAATGTAAGTGCTCATATATGTGAGGACATCTAATTAAACATGCTTTGCATTCTGTTTGCCCTGGCTACTGAGTGCTTGTCATTTCTTTGTTGACATTGTGATTTAAGTGAGATTTCTTTCCCAGATACGGGAGGTGATTGGTCATGCAGTGTTCCTCTGTTGAGATACTGTGTTGTCCAAAATATCTTAATAAATACTCATTGTTGAACTATTTTGAAGTGGTGCTTTTATAACACATATATGGAATATCCACTTACACATGGCACTGAATCAGTAACTGTATGTTCTTCTGCCAATATATTGTTTTTTTATTTTTGTCTTTGCTTTAAATTTTCTTTTTCCAATTGCACATGGGACACAATGCTGTTTGGATTAATGTGGAATTCTCATAGCTAAGATGAACCAATTTTAAACTGGACAAGTCAAAAGCATTTAAGTGCATGCATATTCATATTGAACATTCAGATTATGCACAGTATGTTCACACATTCAGGCAGTAGTCTTCTCTAAGTGGATTGAAGGGTTTTCATCATCCTATAAAAATTTCCTTATGTAATAAGAAGTCACTTTCAAACTCATATCATGCAACCAATCATCTCCATATGTTTCTATGAATTCACATTTTATGAATAATTCTGACAAGTGGCAACAGTCAATATGTGGCTTAGGAGTCTTGGTTCAAACCCATACACATTGCACCATCATCACTTATTCCTTTTTCAAATTGTATACTTTTCCATCTCACAGATTTTTACCATTCTTTTTTGCAATTTTATTGTTTCATTTTTCTGCTCAACCTAATATTTTGTTATTTTTGAGATAACATAGTTTTAGTTTGCATTTGACTCAAAAGCTTAAAGCTCCACTAAATAAAGCGTTCAACAAGTACTAAGCAAGAAGACCATAGTTCTGCAGGAATATAGGCAGGGGCTATAAACAATAATCCAATGAAAAATGTTCAACTTCCCTCACATACAGCAAATTTTAAAATAGCCATAGAACATTCATAGTGTAGTAGTGTGTAGTTATTAATAATTTGTTAAACAAAGTTTTAAAACAAAGGCAAAATACTATATTTGCAGCCAAAATGATATAAACAGACATATTTCTTTCCTTTATTTTTCTTCACAACCAAAATGAATTTTTTCTTAGATTTCCCCAGAACCCTTTTATTTAAGGTATCTAAACTTGACACATTTCATAAAAACAACTTTAGGAATGTTATGATTTTTCCCACGCTACCTGTCCTTGCACCTACACTTCTACTCTTCTTCCTCCTTCCTCTCCTATTCCCATTCTTATTTTACACTAAGATTTATTTTCAATTAACTTTATACACCTAAAATTAATTCTATATTAAGTAAGAGTTCAACAAATAGTATGAAAAAACAAACTGTTCCTCAACAATTGACACAAGGGCTGTCCAAAGTTATCGGATATCAAATTGCTATTTTAAATTTTCATCTTGTGACTATTTTAAAAATGCTAGCTACCACATTTAAGGGAGAATCTGTGTTATTTGTCTTTCTGTCTACCATATTTATTTTATCCAACAGCCCACAGCAGGACATTCATTTTTTTACACCTTCTTACAGGTATAAACTGGTCCTCCATAAAGTCTTCCATAGCAGCTTTATCAGCTTACATTCCCACCAACAGTGCATTAGGGTATGTTTTTCCCCACATCCTCACCAGCACAGGCTCCGCAATGCTGCTCAGACCAGCTGCGCCTTCCAGAGCCCAGTTACTCGAGTTACTGCCCTCTCGGGCAATGCATTCCAGCGCCACCAGCCGAGGGGAACCTGGAAAAGCCCCAGCAGGTCTGTGCACTCAGGTGGCTGCAGGGCTCTGAGCCAGCAGCAGCGAGCGAGAGCCTTTACCCAGTTTGAATTTTGCAAATGCCTGGAAGATGACAGCACCGGCAATCCCAAGCAGATCCCCAGGTCCAGCTAGTGCTGTGGGTCTGCAGTCCAGGCCCACGCCCACGCCCACCCCTGGGCCAGCCTCGGAGATGACTTTGATGGTTCCACCCGCAGATCCAGGGGTTTCCTGGTCTTACTACAGCCGGCAGGTAACTCCTACGGACATCCAAAGGAAGACAAGGAAAGTGAAGAAGCTGAGTAGGAGACTTGCTGAGGCCCTGAATACAGACAAGATCATCAGAGAGGGAGAGAAGGCGGGAAGGGGAGACTGACGGGGCAGAAGCTGGAGAGAAGGAGCAGCCACGTGGTGCAGGCACTGTGGGGGCAAGGAAACCCCCCCCAAGAAAGAGCTTTCCGTGTAATGCCAGTCCCACCCTCTTCACTGATCCTGTAATCCCCAACTGTTCTTTATGAAACTCTTTAGACTGAAACTGTGGACTGCACCTCTTTTTATGGATGACAGGATAGGTTTCCCATAAGAAAGGAACTCTTTCAATAGTTCAGTTTTTCTTTACAATACCTTTTCTTTATTTTAATATAAAAGTCTACATGGATAATATAGCATGAGGGATTATATAGTATTTGATACAATTTTTTTCTTACAATACATAATGTTCAAGGGTAAGATATCTGCTCCTATGAGATTTTCTTCATGTTATGGCCATTTGAGTCAGATTAAAATCCTGATTACTTTCCTGGGTTCAGCCTTGCCCTACTCAGGCTTGGGAGCCATTTCGAGAGTGAATCAGCATATGGAAGATCTCCCTCTCTCCCCCTCTCCAATTAAATTATATATATATGACTTTTTAAACAATTAGAAGTGAGAACAGGCAGGAGCCATAAAGCTCAACTTTGCCCTATTCAATGCAATCTTTGTAACTGTAGCAACCTCAATGTAAACTATTTTAACTGGTATTATAAAAGTTGTTGACACGAGTGGCATTCAATGGATCTTCTTAAAAGTTCTTAAAAGAACTTATGGAATAAAGGTACTCAAGAATTTTTTTGCAAAAAAAATGTATTAAGGACATAGGTAATAACATGATTGTTTCATGCTGAAACAAGCTAATCAAAAATGGCCAAATATTATTATACAGTGTAGAGTAGGCCTAGATAATATGGTTTGACTGTACATGTTTAGGGCCCTACTATTCATGGATAGCTTTGCAAGGACCTGGAATGGGCCATTCAGGGAATCACTTTTGTTGTTGCCATTTCTACTATTAGATATGACTGGGAGTACTTGCTCAAATTTGCTTCCATGCATTTTGGGAGAATAATTTTGCTTGCTCAGATCCCAGATTTTGTGTCTGTGCATAATTGTTCCTTTCCCACTTTTTTTTCCCACTCCCCTCTTACCTCTCTTTCACTTTCAGTCCTGTCCCTAGCACCCCTCTCCCTTTCCTCTGGGGCTATTCAGTGGGGAATACAGCAGATAAAAGGATTGTGTTGGGTGCAGGCTATTCAATGGTTCGATTTTGGGGGGGAGATTTGTTGCTGGGCTCCTGCCATTCCTATCATGGGAGCTTTGGCATTATCTGTTGGCTTGTGAGAACCACTCTCGACTTTCATGTTCTGAGACAACATCCCCTGGGGAAGGAGATACTTGGTTCATTGGGGCTCTGTTCATCCACTACAATGTGGGGACAGTGATGTAGGATATTTATACTGCAAGGAGAGGCTGCCTGCTGAGACTGATTATTCCTTGTGTTTGGGATAAGGGAAGTCTCACCGTGGGTGCAGTCATCTTATGCTGAGGGAGACCTGCGGAATTTGCATTCTGGGATCCCCTCATCTGTGATGAATGCTGCTGGCAGATGCTTCTATCAGCTGCAACTTTAACAATGGCATGAGAGGTAGTTTCCCAGCATATGAAATGTTGTAGACCATGGCGGGCTACCTGTGAAGACTCTCGATTGTCTCAAAGGTGTCTAAGGTGTCACTGCTAGAAACATTAATATCTAGTCTTGGAGAGAGGGAGGCAAGCTGGGACCTGCACTGAGGGACAGTGGTGTGGCATTTACTGGGTAGGGAATTGGGAGTTGCTTTTTCAGGATTTCCATCAAGTTGTGATACAGGGTATGACTTGAAACCTCCAACATGTGAACAAACCCCCATGACATAAGGGTTAATTAGGGGACCTAAAGCTTTGGATCCTGTTTTCTCTCATGTCTCCTATGTGAGTGCAGGGGCCCAAGCACCTGAGTTATATCCTGCTGTTTCCCCAGGATCCTTAGCAGGGAGCAGATCTGAAGCTGAGCAGCCAGGTCTCAAACTGGCATCCAAGTTGGATGCCGATGTCACAGGCAGCAGCTCCACTCACTATGACAATGCTGGTCCCTTCCATTTTTCAAATCTTGGGATGACAGAGGTCCCATCATCTCCAGTTCAGGGAGATGGCAGGTGGCAGGGGCGGTTATTGCATGGGGCCTCATTTACCTCTAGCCAATGGAAGCAGAAGGATCTCTAATAGCTTCTATTCTTTCTCTTGTTGTGGGGGACCAG